CAATACAGCCGTAATATTTTGTGGTTCATCCTTGTGATGCCCACCACACAGGCGATAGCTGTTACGACATTCATCGTGATCCACCACACAGGTTCGGACATTCAACTCAGCCAAAAATTCCAATTCATCATCCCATTGCAGGGTGGCCATACGTGCGGCGGGATAATAACCCGGCAGCAGACCCTGAGCTATAAAATTCCTGCGATTATTGTGCTCGTGTAATATTAGATCACGATAGGGTCGTAAATCGATTATTTCCACATCGGGTTCACATCTCTCGTGGAAATTCTAAAGGAGAAAGTTAGAAAAGATTTATTAAATATTTAAATATTAAGAAATGTTTCAGAATAAATTCCATAAATGTTAGGAAACCTTGTAATTGTATTCTTTTCATCGACAATAGCCTATACTCACCCCCGAATTATTACAGGCCGTATGTGTTCCACCATTTGGACATAATTCTGGATCACACCAATCCAAAGAACTAACAACGCTTACGATAGCACTCAATATTAAGAACACTTTATGCGAATTCATTTTTTCTTTTTTTTTTAATTTAACCTTGGAATGATCTTCCGAATGCTTTTTTCTTCGATCCTTCTACTTTAAATTGCTTAATGAAAATGTAAAATAAATTGATTTCAACTTAAATATTTATATTTAATTTGAATATATATCGTAAAGGTGGAATCGGTATTTTTATTTACATTCCCATCATATCATCCAGCATTCAAATTAATCTGTAACATTGTTTACATATTTAATTACACACACTTACACAAACACAAAATGTTATTGACCAAAATTTAAAAATATTTGCGAAAAAAAATTAGCAAATCAATTAATTTGTTTTGTTATTGTTCCGCCTCATTCAAGTGTTTTGAAGCGATAATCAAAATTAAATTTTGGAACAGGTGCGATTTATGTAGATTCATTGTAATTAAAAAATAATAAATACATAAATATATATATATATATATATATATTTGATATCCTTTACAGAATTAAATGTAATGAAATATGCATATTTTTGAAATAATTTGTATCTAAATTTCGGTTTTTTAATTATTTTATTTTTTGTTTATATTTTTACACCCTTCACCAAAAGGTGGAGTGTATATAAAATTTATCATTCCATTTGCAACACCTCGAAATATTTACCTTAGACCCCATAAAGTGTATATATTCTTGATCGGAATAAAAATATATTTCTTCTGTCGGCTTAAATTGCGATAGAGATTACAATACTGCAGATAGAGCTTTTAATTTTGCACATACATTGTTAAAAATGGATTAGCAGCATTGCACTATGGGACTGGAATCCAATTTTTTGGCAAAAAGTCAAAAAATTGGATTCCAAATCTAGGGACATTGAGCTTTACACCAATAAATTTTTATACCCTCCACCATAGTATGGAGGGTATATTAATTTTGTTTTTCCGTTTGTAACTCATCGAAATAAGCATTTCCGACCCTATAAGGTATATATATTCTATATATATATTCTTGATTCTATGACGATATAGCCATGTCCGTCTGTCTGTTGTAATCACTCTAGCGTCTAAACGAGTTGAGACAGATCGCCAAAATTTTGCATAGAGGCGTCTTTTGTCTGCAGGCAGGTCAAGTTCGCAAATGGGCTATATCGGTCCACGTTTAGGCATAGCTCCCATATAAGAGTACCCCCCCCCAAATTTTCGGTAGCGAATTCGTGTTTTTCAACCGAATTCGCTGAAATTTGGTACTTTGAGTTCCTATTAGGTACCAAATCTTCCTACTACAAATTATAAATATAGGTCAATTTATTCTGGCACCCGCCATATAACGGTACCCCTCAATTGTCGGTATTTTGGGGTTCTTGAGCGCGTTTTTCAACCGATTTCGCTGAAATTTGCTTCATTGGGTTCTTATTGGGTACTAAATGTCTCCACAGAAAATTATAAATATAGGTCCACTTTTTCTGGTAGCCCCCATATAACGGTACCCCAAAATTTTTGGTATTTTGGGGGTTCTGATCGGATTTTTCCACCAAATTAGCTGTAATTTAGTATTTTGATTTCTTAATAGGTCCCAAATCTCTCCACAAAAAATTATGAATATAGATCCGTTTTTTCGGATAGCCCCCATATAAGGGTACCCCCAATTTTCGGTATTTTGGGGTTCTTGAACGCGTTATTCAACCGAATTTGCTGCAAATTGGTATTTTGTAGACGTATATGGTACCTAATCTCTCTACCAAAAATTATTAATATGGGGTAGTCCCCATATAACCCCCTTTTTATATTAAAATGGTTATCTGATTTGTTCCGCGTTTTGAGTTTGGTTCGAAGTCTCTGATGTAATCATTTCACCTGCGGAGGATATCGAGATATACAAGTAGAACGTAAGGTCCGATAATGAACTATAATCCGCATTTAGACCTAGCCCCTGTATGGAGGTTCCAGAAGAAGTGGACCGATATTACCCATTTTCGAATTTGAACTAAGATTGGAAGAAATAATAAGATGGACAAAGTTTGGATGAAATCTAAATTTTTTGAAACGGATTTGGTCCAAAGAAACATGGGGTCTAGAACCAATATTTCGATTAGCCACATGTTCACCGTGTTAAAGTGTATACACCTTCAATAGCGATAAATCTGAGGGTAAATTATCCATTAAAAATTTCTGATTTTTTTATTTTTGTTTACATAATCCCTTTTTAGAAATGTCGATATAGGTCCACTTTTTGGTATGTTCCCTCTATTTTCATTTCTAGTACCTGTCAGTATATCTATGGTGGAGGGTATCCAAAGTTCGGCCCGGTCGAACTTAACGCTTTTTCACTTGTTGCTAATTATTTTGGGTCGCAATTTACAAATGCCATGAGGTCAAAGTCAAAATTTCATATTTTTTCTGAATATAATTTATATTTGAAAATGTTAGTCTTGATTTAGATTAGGCGAGTTTACTTGCGGCAATTCTTATCGTTCTCTTTTGAACTTGCTTCATGCGTCTATACAAGGCAATTCGGTTTCAAAAAATTTTTTTTATTAGTTTCAAATAGTTTTTTCACATTTAAATAAATATAAAATGTCAAAAAAATACGAAATACACAAAACGAATTGCCAGAAAATTGTCGGTACGAGCAATTTTTTTCCATTTCTATTCCCCTTGCCCCTCTCTCCTACAAACAAAGACTTGCCGCAAGTAAACTCGCCTAATCTAAATCAAGACTTATATAACATTTGAGATGTGTCAAAATATTTACATACAATGACGATCGATTAAAGAGATGGAACTGGTGATTATAATGAAGGTGAAAATTATTAGTAGATACAATATAATCATGAAAATTTTCTTATATAAAACTCATAAATATAATTTTTTCAAACATTTGAGTTGAGTTGGGGATTTGTATCAGGGGTTTCAACTAAATCGTCGGTATTTCAAATTTAATTAAGGTGTGCATTTGTTAAACCCTTAATACATAAAACAGCGATTTTTTGCTATTTTCGTATTAAATACTGCAAGGAAATATAATGTTTAATTTTATTTAATTGTTCAAAAATTCAAAAAATTTAAAAAAAAATTATTTTCATTTTCGGTCCACCCTATGAAATTTTTACTTTTTTTCTTGCGGAATCGTAATCAGTGTCCACAAAAACCTTACATGCGATATTTGTTTGTTTTATAAACCCTCAACTCTAATTATGGGACACAAAATGGGATTTCTGGCCCATAATGCATTGGGAAGGTTATTTAACCTTATCAGATGTAATTTGGTATTTCTTCCTACAAAAAACGAGCCACATTGGTTCAGTTCAAGATTTTAGGCACGTTTTCAAACTAATCAGCTGTGAGTTCATATTTTCGGTTATCACTGGGTGAAAAATCTTTATACAAAAAATTTTAAATTTTGGTCCAATTGTTAGGTCAATTGGTCAATTGTTATTTTGGATACGTTTTTCAACCCAGTTGACTCCAAATTTATATTGTCAATTCTCACCGGGTAAAAAATTTTCCCACTAAAAATTATCAATATAGGCCCATGTTTCGGTTTTAATGGTACCCATATTACGGTACCATTAAATATTCGGTATTTTGAGGCGTTTGAGCATGTTTTTCAACCTAATCAGCTGTAATTTAGAAATGTAGGTTTTCATTGGGTATCTCCCTATTCAAAATGATCAAGATTGGTCTTCTGTTTAGGGTATAACGCATATATCCCAAATTTCTGTAGTTTTCTGAATTTGGCTTAACTTTATTGGCCATAAATTTATATTTTCGATCCCCTTTGAGTAGAAAACTTTCCTATCAGAAATGATCAATATTGGTCAGGGTAGCCCCCATATAATGGAGCCTATTTTATATCCTTTACCACACTGTTGTGCAGGGTGTTATGTCTATGTGAATATGTTTGTAACAGACAATAGGAAACGAAATAGACGGTTTGGAGAATATGCCTAGAATAACCATCTAAGTCGATTTATGCATGTCTGTCCATCCGTCTGTCTATGTTAAATTGTAAACAAAGTGCAGGTCGCATTTGTCATCCGAATGAGATTATAATCATTTATTTGTCTCAAGGACGAACCCTATTGAAATTGGTGATAATCGGTTCACATTTAGATAAAGCTCCCATATATATTTTCGTCCGATTTTTATACGGACGAATACAATGAAATTTGACATAGCTCATTTATTTGGCCCAAGGACAAACCTATATATTTTTCGAGCCCCAGAGCCCCTATATATCTTTCGATTTGCATGAAATTTGATATGGCGTACTGAATTAAGTTGAGAACGATGCGTGCTAAGTTTCATGAAAATCGGTTCAGATTTAGATATAGCTCCTATATATATTTTCGTCCGATTTTATGTAATTGGTGTACAAAATACCCTATATATCTTTCGATTTGCAGGAAATTTGTAAAAGCGTAATGAATTAAGACTAGAATGATGTGTGTTAAATTTCGTGAAAATCGGTTCAGATTTAGATATAGCTCCCATACATATTTCTGTCCGATTTATTGTAAATGGTGCACCAAAATCCTTATATATCTTTCGATGTGCACGAAATTTTGTACAGCATACTAAATTGAGTCTGGAATAATGTGTGCTAAGATTCATGAAAATCGGTTCATATTTAGATATAGCACCGTCCGATTTTATGTAAATGGTGTACCAAAGCCACTATATATCTTTCGATTTCCACGAAATTTGGCATAGCGTACTGAATCAAGTCTAGAATGATGTGTATTAAGTTTCGTGAAAATCGGTTCAGATTTAGATATTTTCGTCCGACTTAATTTAAATGGTGCACCAAAGACCTTATATTCTTTCGATTGGTACGAAATTTGGCATAGCACACTGAATTCAGTCACGAATGATGTGAGATAAGCTTCCTTCAAATCGGTTCAGATTTATGTACTGCTCCCATATATATTTTTGTCCGATTTTATGTAAATTGTGAACCAAAGTCCCTATATATCTTACGATTTTCACGAAATTTGGCATAACGTACTGAATTGAGCCTAAAGTGATGTATTTTAAGTT